CCCGACGGAATCCGAAACATCAGGACAATAAAACTCTTGTTCCAGTGATCGCCTCTTTTTCTTCGGAACTAGGTCCACTTTATGCCAGTGCTTACACTTAGTCTTTAGAAGATTGTATTCCTTTTAAATGGCCCTTTAGGCCAGTATTATTAGGTATACGAAGTACTGCTGTAGAATAATCCGTTTTTACTGATTTTCTGAAGATAACGATCCGAAAAGTTATTTTTGTTTTACTGCATCAAGGTTTTAGCTACTAATATAAGCGCTGAAAACCTGTAACGCTTTGTCGTTGAAGTTAGTAATATTTTAAAATTATATTTTGCGCTGGGTAAACGAAAGTTGTATTCAAAAGCCACCTTCTCATCAACAGTTTATTCTCCATTACATATTATTGAAAGCGAAATTATCATTTTATAGTTTAAATAACGCTTTCCAGAAGATTTTTGTTTGCGGTTTTATATTTGCCATAGGAGTGCATTCCTATGACCCAAAATATATTTTTCAACGATTTATGCAAAGCTCTCGTATCATATTTTATTGTGTTAGATCAGAAATATGATATATCTACCAAAGGGTGTAGCGTGCAAATCTACCAAACTTTTTTTTCAAGTTAACTGTATTGCAACTAATTTTGTGTTCAGTAAGTATTTTGTAAATAGTTTTTGCTTTAATTAAAGATTTAGGAGACCCAAATCTTTCATGCAACGCAATTGTATAAAATAACATTCCGTAAAAATCTTAAGACAGAAAAATCCACCGCTCGGTGAAAGGCAATTGCGATGTATAAGAATAAATATATCAGACTATGTAAAGATGAGAAACTTATCAATGATCTATTTTTTTCTTGGTTTCATATTCAGTTTTAATTTAGCATTTAACGATATGCACAAGAACATCTTTCTTCATTGTTTGGTTACTTTCCAGCTTTCATGTGCGTTCTTAAGCAAAATAAAAAAACATGAAAACACAGAGAGGTGGAATATCCGCTATTCCAGTACAGCTACTATTGTTTGTGATTAAGCGAATAGTTTTAAGTCGATTGTTATGATAAATATTGCAATATCGCATCAACTCATATGGACGGTCCTGAAAATGTTCGTTAAGCTAAGTAATATGAACCTAGAAAGGTCTTCTGGAAGGAGTAACATGCTTTAGTGAATTAATTTTAACGACTTTTGAAATAATAACCTTTTTTTTTTAACGATTTTCATGCAGTAATTCCTGGCAAAGGTGCTATATCTTTAACATCGAAACTGAAATTTGTAAATTATTTTCATAGTTAACCAGCCAGAAAAGTAACAGTAAAAGTATAACTTGTCATATGTATCCGGTTATGTAAAACACTATGCAGATAGTTGAAATAGAGGATCAACAATTAGGATATAGGTAAGTATTTTGTTTGTGAACAAACATCATCTAAAATACATCGATCAAGCCACAATGTATGGGGCAACAAAAGGCTATATTCCACCAATGTCGTATTGAGAAGACCTAGGAAATTTCAAGTCTGTATGAAATCTTATTTATTTATTAATTGCGTTTAACTTTCAGTCGCATGTCTCACGGCAGCTCATGTGTAACCAACAAAATAAAAAGCTGCTTACTGGATTTATTTTACGCGCAGTTAAACAAACGAAAATATCTTGCTAAAGAGCTTTGAAATTATTCATCAAGCTAATCTTAAGTATAGCATCAAATTAATTCTAACTACATAAAAAAGCATCTCGCTGCAACCCAGCCTTTTGTCACTTACTTGTTCTGTTCTACCTAGTATATTTTTTCTACTTAGATTGATAACCCGCTAAAGACCAAGAAATGTATAGGTGACCTAATAAAACTGTAAATTTAGCGGTAGAAGCTTGATTTAATAGAAACCTTTACTGTTAGCTTGTACATTTTTCTTCAAAAATACCACCACATTTCTATGTTCTCTTTTGATGAAAGTTATTCAAATATATTCGGACATTAGTTGTCGGCCGTATTTTCCAAAATATAATGACGAACCACATAAAAAGAGGACTTTAAGGACCGAAACTCTATCCATCATTGCTTTTGGTCCATCAAAGTCTGGCAGAACGATCGCAATCAATACCCCAAAGAGTGAAGGTGCACTCTATTACATAGTGAGTGCTGCTTTCGTGTGCTCTTTTCTGAGCCTTAAGGATCATTGAGTCTGATATAATTCTCACGCGTGTAAACTGCACCTGTTTAACCTACAAGAGCACAGCCCATGTGTACTAGTAAGAAGTTTCTGGAGAAATGATAAAAGTTATATCACTACCGAAAATTCATATGCTGCATTAAGTTGAAATCCCTGCTGGATACATAGGTACATAGGTTTTTGTTTATACTAAATCCAAATGAAACACCAGGAGACTGAATAAAACAGGTAAACGCCTCTACTCCGGATGAAGCGCAGACATAAATCAGGAGTTTTTATCGTGAGAACTAGTGAGGTGCTCTCATACATCTTCATCTTTGAGGTCGACGCCCAGCTCAGTGCTCCAGCATCAAGGTTGCGTGTATTCCACCTATCACTTCTCCGTATAGGTTGAACAAATACGTGACATGATCAATGTTGGACACTGATGTTTGACAGCATTCTTTAATATAGCATAAATTCTGACAACGAGAAAATAACTGGGATCGCCATTTCTGGATTATTGACCGTCGTGAACCAGCAGTATTGTCAATCCTGGGCTCAAAACCGGACTTTCTGGTTATTGAGCAGCATGTCAGGCATTTTATTACCCCTTTTCCAACCACTTGCGAACATAAATGTGGCTGACGGGCGATGACTAATAAACCAGAAGAAGTTATCCCTGTCATTTCGCCATTTCAGTAATCTTTCCACTTTATTATTGATAGACACATAACAGCCTGCAATGGTTCTGGATTGGATTTCAAGACCTTACAGATGTAGATCTTTCCGTTATGCAAATATATTAGTGAATAAAACTCGTTCCAATACTACACAGGCCAGAACAGAAAAGACGGACTAAACTGCCACAAGTTTAGTATGCAGTCGTTTATCGCATCACTAATCTTTAGTCACCGTTACTGTTAAGCTTTTTGCATACATAAAAAACACCTGTTACTCCAAGCTGAGAGGAAAACTAGGAAGAAAGGGAAATGGAGGACTTGGACAAATAAGGGATAGCTAACAATAAGTTCTGCTGAGATTAATTTGGTTATAGGGACCTACCCATTAGAGGAGGCAAAAATGGTATGCTTAGCTTACTCAATTCTTTCGTCAAAGGTCTGTTTTTCATTGACTCTTGGCTTTCACTTCTTAGTAGATTATATTTACTTTGGACAATAGAATGAGGAATATCTTGAAGATTATAACTCCGCTAGTTAATAATTAACAGCAGATGTCAAATCTGATCGCAGAACCACTAAATTCTCCCAATATTACCGCTTTCATTAGATATCTGATTCATCCTTCTGCACTGCTTTTTTGCACAGAATTCCAAATCTCACAATGGATTATCGTATGGATCCAAAGCTTGTCGATCAGGAGATTGCTAAAAATCTTCCAAAAGACTTCCTAAAAAAGAAAGAGAGATCGGTTCTGCTTCCACCATCTGAGGTACCTTGCGTCAACTCTCAGTCATGCTTTTATATGTAGTTTTTTAAACCCTACACCAGACCGGAACCGAATGAAATGTTTAGAATGCTGCCTGAAACCGAGGTGGGTTTTTTGCTCTTTCTTTACGCCTTGAAGGTTGGATTTGATGAACTTTCCAGAAAGTTTCATAACGAAGCTGGCTTGGGGAGTCAACAGGAGGACGCCGTGGAGCCATGCAAGGTAGGGCTGAATAAAACTTTAAAGCCTTTACTGGGGACACCACCATCAACTAGCACAGCGGACACAAGCAGTCAGGACGCGGACGTACAACTGAACGTGTCTGAACGTGCCAACCTACAATCAAGTGAAAATGTTCCTACCAATATAGTGAATTCTGCTTCTCATCTCGAGGAGGCGAGGGATACAATTCAACCAAAGTCAGAACAACGAGACAAGCCAAGGCTAAAAATGACTACTCTTTACGATTTTGGTATACCTGAGAGCACCTTAGGTAAGCCTTTGCTAGGCGATCCCTTTGAACCCCGTCAACATCAGATAGCCTTTTAGGAGACAAAACCATGGGAGCAGGAGACACAGCAGCTCTCTTTGCAATGACCCCCAGAGAAATTGGTTTGAAGTCTTTGTTTTGCAGAAATAATAACCTTATTTGTTTTACATAAATTAGTGGAAGAAGAGAAAAAGGCGCTGAAAAAAGTGCTGCCACTCAAAAAAAGCCAAACAAGCGGTCCCAAAGATGAAGTTGTAAGTGGAGTTGGATGCATTTCCTCCAATAATGCAAATGCTGAAGCCTATAATCTGGCGGCCTTGCTGCCTATGACTTCGGAGTCCACCGACCAACAAGGGTTTGTGTGCCGCATAATTGAAGAGCTTTCGTCATTATTTTCATTTATAGGTCAGAGGAAACAGACAATGAGTCAGACACCAATGAGGAAGATACAGCTGTCCATTGGCTGTCTAGATATCGTTTCTTGCAAGAGACAAACAAACAGGGGTACTTCTGATAGTTCTATCCATTTACTTGTTTTATTTGGCAGCCTTTCTACTTCGTCCCAGGCACCCAACATGCCAGACTCGTTAATTGAAATCCCAACCTCCTTTGAGTACCCGGGTCAACGACAGGAATTTACCTCGGATGAATACAAGTCTCTGTTGACAGCCATTGACGAAACCCACGACCTGGAAGTCCAAACACCTGCGGATAGGTACTCTTTGGAGCTTTTTGCCGAAATCGCACTTTTTTAAATAGGAATCTACTTCAAAAGATAAGAGAGGAGCGAAAGAAGCTGAAGCACTGGCTAGAGCTCAGGAAGACGCCCCACTTCCTTCCCATTCTGTTTAACCAGGTCTGTTCCATATCCATCATAAACACCTTGATTTACAGTACATTTGCCATCCCATGATATTTTAACCGAAAATCTGCAATATGGTTTCGGCAGGGCAGTATTGCCGGCAAAGACAAGGTAGACTGGATTAGCCATTTCGGGCTCATTAGCCCTCGTCAGCCAGTCATACCTAGACCCAAGTGGCGTCCCTCCTGAGCCGCGAACTCGCGATCCCTTTGATCAGAGTCAAACGCCCTAACCATTGCGTCACAAGATTGTTGTCTTGCCAGTTCAGATCAGGGGATATTGACACTCGTTGATTAACGTTCATCGACCGCAAACGGAACTCATCTGTCCCGCTCTGCCTTGGGACTCGACAGAGGCTCCGACAACTGCAGTAGCTGGTAATATAGGCAGATATTATTGCCGGCAAAAACAAGGGAGATCTGGTCCAGGATACACCAACCCTGGCTGTTTCGTCTGGCGAATGACTTGACACTT